TATATTGTATGTCTGGATACAAAACCTCATGGCACCAAGGCTGCTCGAGTTGTCTCCCCTTTCTCAAATAGAAAGTCCTTTTCGGCGTGTGTGCGTGTCTTGACTATATGCGTCTATACAATGTATTTTATTTTTTTTTTTTTATTTATAATATTATTTTTAGTTGATTAAGCGCTTGTGGTGTTATTTTCGACTTCTAGCGCTTGCAATTTATCGTGCATAAAGAAGAATGGGCAGATAATGCCAGTAAATCGCAGTGGGGTACACCAGACCAGGGCTTCATCAACGTGTTTCTAGCCATGTGCACGGAATAGAACCCAGTCCTTGGGCGTACAGGAAGGAACGATTTCACCACTTGGCTATCCTATCTTTGCTATATGCTCATGCATCATTTGTCATGAATATTGGATGTGTAGCCTAGTGGTTGGAGCATTCGCTTGTCACGCCGAAGACTCAGGTTTGATTCCCCACATGGGTACAATTTGTGAAGCCCATTACTGGTGTCCCCTGCCGTGATATTGCTGGAATATTGCTACAAGTGTCGTAAAACCCAACTCACTGGATAAATGATGTTTGCATCCAGTGAATTTCAATGTTTGAACATTCCATCCACGTGATGGCAATGCACTGATGCGCACGTACAATATCTTAACCCGCTCCCTTTTTTGTTGCGCAATAATCCAAATAGGTTTGTTGCTGTTCAACACTTTGCATTACTCAAGCTCTATGACGGCGGTCTGCAAACAACGAACTAGACAGTTCAGTGATGGACATAATGAGAACCGACCTACGCAATCGGGATACGATGGCATGCATCAATAAAGTGCAACACACAAAAATGAAAAATTTGGATTATTTGATAATAGTCTTTAAATTAGTTTATGATGTAAAACTGACGAGCAAAAGAAAGTACAGGTGTAATTGTTGTTGCTATCTGCGGGTTATTGACCTACGCAACTGGATGTTGACGGTGACGTCATCAGCAGCCACATCATTGGGTCATCGCGTAAGCCGATTCACAGTGACAAGACGACTTCGTCCTGCTGGCATGTATGGAGCCTACCGACCGCTGCGTGGAATGGCCTTGACCTTCCAGCATCGTAGGAACCGTCTGCAGTGGTCATCACTACATCGCTGTTTATTGTTACAATGTCATTTTGCTGATAAAAACGTTTATTGCAGGTGTTAGCTTCAACATACATTTTCCATTTCATCAAAAGGTTTTGTTATTTTTATCTTATTGGAAGAAACACAACCTGTGTACTTTTCTCTTTGCAAATCAGTTTTAGATTGAGTTTCTTTGTCTCAGAATATTTTTTTAAGAAGTCTAGATAATGAAAGATCCAACTGAAATATAGTTAATGAGTGCGCAAGAGTAAGAATATTGGTTTTATCACACAGGACATATATTTCCACGGCTGTGGGTAAATTAACATCAGAAAAAAAATTATTATTTCACGTCAAAATGACGGTGGCGGAAGATGGAAAACACAGTAAAAGTACGGACAGTCTTTGAATATCGTGCTCCGCTGAAGACAAATTGCAATCCTGATCTTCAGGATGGCAAAATTTATTAATAAAACTCAGGAACAATCTGCGAGAAGGATTGCCGTGGAGTTCAACGGGCATTGGTAAAATACATTTCCGTTGAATGAGTATGTAACAGTTCACACGGAGTACGTGTTCAACTAGTCTGTCGTACAGACCCTGAAGCAAATATATCCAAGAAAGCCCACGCAAGTCTACAAAATGTGGCAAGTCTAGATTTCCTCAGTCTGAAAATGAAGAAAGTCTCAGGGCTCCTTTTTCATTATATTATTTTTTTTTTACTATGAACTGACTGACTGACTGAGTTTTAGTTTTACGCCGCTTTTAGCAATATTCCAGCAATATCACGGCGGGGACACCAGAAATGGGCTTCACACATTGTGCCCATGTGGGGAATCGAACCCAGGTCTTCGGCGTGATACTCTGAACTTTTTTCAGTAAAATATGTTCATTTCAGAGACTAGTTGTTAGTCTAGTGTTCAACGTTCGTTTGTGCCTCCTTCGCTTTAGCTATTTTAACAAAGACTATTTTAAAATAAATACTGTTTTTGAGGCTATATTCGGTGCTTTCTTGAAGAGATCCACAACACATTCAAAGTATTGGACACAGCTCCAGTTAAAATCAATATTTTGACTAACATCGAAGAGGGTGCATTAAATTTTGTCATTATTCGGTGTATTCCCATATTGCCTACAGGTTAAAACAACATGATACGGTCCAGTGATCAGGAAGTGAATACACCGATCTGACCTGTTCTACCCTTGCTAAAATGAACTTGACTAGTTAGCTGGTTAATTCTATGATGTCTTCCCACTCTGCCTACAGAAGTTTCCAAAAATGACAGTGTTGGTTGGTAGGACATCTTTATTCATTCTGAGAATTCTCAGACTTTGCATGGAGACATGGATTTATCATGAAAAAAACTAATAGGTTTTACTGTCTTTCAGTGGTTTGACAGTCTTTCACTGGTTTTACAGTCTTTACTTGTTTCACAATTACACACAACTGACAATCACTTTGCAAACTTGATGAGATGTCCAGCAGTATCAAGGTCCTGAAGAGGCGTTTTCTGCCGCTCTGGAGGTCTCGCATCGAGCTCTCTGTAACACCCTTGCATGACTTGGGAGGGCACCACAGTCGAGCTGAGCACGTTTAGCTTTGTCTACGGCTTCGATTTTCTTGATGTTGCAGATGAAGAGGTAGATGTTTGGGTGGGCTTTGGCAATAAGGTTTTTCAGCTTCAGGTGCCACCCCTCAAGGTGGTTGTTAGTCCGCGGGCCAATATTTCCATACTGCGTCCAGATCCGTACCGGAAACGTGCCTCATAGTCCATATGTACTCGTGACGTAGTCGTTGAAGTTCCTGACCTTCTCTGTCTCCGGGCCTTCGTCCATGGCAGCGATCCAAGTGTCCTGCACAAATTCAGTTTAGTTAAAATATTGTGGTTACCAGCCCTGCACTGAAAACACAATGTGTATATATCAGTAACGTCATAGTTTGACATTTCCGAAAGTCCCCAAATTTCAGTCATAATTTTAAAAGACCAAAACAAACCCAATATGACTATATCACCCAGGTTACATTTGATCAAAATGTCGAATATCAGTATATATGAGTTCGGTGAATTTTTATCCGAGATGTATGTTAATAAAAGAATCACAACTTTATAAATTTAGCCCATTTATTGCGAGAAGGAATATCGAAGGTTGTGTAATATTTGTTCTGCTATACTTACAGACATTTACGCAAAATGTCGGGGTATTTCCAAAGACCTTCCTGACCTGTTGACTGTGAAGTGACAATATAACTACAGTAAACGCACATAAAATCGCCATGACTGTGCATGGGATAATGTCAGCAGTCGTGACGATTGCTTGAACAATGAAAATGACAAATGTAAACCAAGAAGTGAAATGTAACATATTTCATTTAAAACACACCAATTTCGTGCATTTTCTATAAACTCAATGTCTATGTATTCATATTTCGTTTTAGAAATCCTATGAGTAATTTGCTTTAGTAATATCTTCCACGCGGCATTTGTAACACAACGTGAACAGAGACGTCTATTGGACTTCAGAATAAACAAACTCTGAAACTGAACTTGCGTACATTTTGCATTTCTTACCTTAAAAGACACATATCATCATATATCATTTTCCCAACCCATAAACCGATGACAATCACGGGATTGTCTGAGCCATTTTGCAGACTGGAATATTGCCGCGTGCAGCGTTAAAATAAATACGCAAACAAAACAAACAAACAAACAAACAAACAAACAAACAAAACAAACACACAAACACACACACACACACACACACACACACACACACACACACACACAACAAACAAAACAACAAACCAAACAAACATAAAAAACAAAAAAACAAAACAAAATACAAGAACCCAGAACTAACGAGCGAACAACTCCAGCCTCACAATATGAAAAAGTGGTAAACGCCAGAACTATCCATCACTTCACCCCACCCATCCTAGATAATCTCCGGGGTATACGTTACGATCACTCTCACTATAGAGAGTGATCGTAACGTATACCCTGGAGATTATCGAGGATGCACCCTACCTCAAGCTGACACGGCCTGACATACCTAAATACTGCTCAAAGTGACGTTGGACATAACTCACTGTCAATCACAGCCACAAACCTTGTACCTACAGATATTAACATCTGTATCTTCTTTTGACGTTTATCGTTTTACGTTAACAATGATCAAAGGTGTTGATCCGCCTTTAATCCGTGTTAACTATCGTCTCTATCAACGTCACCTCTTGTTTCTTCGCCCTTCGGCAATGTATCAGTACTGTTAATAGACGGTTTCAAATAATTATTGTAATGGTGTATTTAATTGTTTCAACAATATGATGCTTCTAGAAAAGTTGTTATGATAATGATATTGTTTATTTGTATGTTATCATATCTAATTTTTAAATAACAGTTAAACCGATACTATTTCCCCATTAAAGCACAACTAACTCTTGTCGTTGTTTCATAGGAAATACATGGGGAATTACAACAGTATACAAAGGGTAATACACTGACTTATGATATGAATTATAATCAATAACACACATGTGAACAACAATATGTCATTTTGCATATATGTAAATACATGTACATCCAAACGGGGTGAAATTTAATTGTGAGTAAACCCTAAATTTACACACAAATTTTAGATTTTTTGTCGACAATATATTAATTCTGATTAATCTTTGGTAGTTTTCATTTTTTTTCTTCCCGCAGACATTTCAGAGAAACGTCATATCAAGTATGTGTCCGTTGTAATTGTATAAGGAGAAATGTCCTTCATGCATGAACGAATGTATGCTTTCTTTCAGTCCCTTTATGACGTTGAGATAATGAACACGTCAACAGGAGTTGCTATAAAATCTTAGCATGGTTACTAGTCGTACCCCATATAGCACCAAGAGCGCCGTCTGCCGGACGTTGATAAAACTTTCCTAAGTTTGGCAGTGAAATTGATATCGCGGATTACCCAAACATGTCTACGATAAACAAAGTGGACATGTCACTTGGTATGTATGAAATCTGAAATGATGCGTTGTTAATATAATACGCTAATTTGAAATGCAACAGTTCTTACTTCCGCTGGTGTCTGAAATATTCTCATATTCGCTACTTGGCCAAGTGAACAAATCAACCTCGTTTGGCGTCAAAGTTTGACATTGTTTTCGTCCTATTATGTTATTGACTACCTTATACAGTAGTGTTACTTCCAAAAATAAACTGTTTATGTGTAGCCATGTACATTTTGAACATGCTCATCCATGATTGCAACTGAGGTGATATTTTGAGGGATTCTCGTCAAACTAATCCGTTTCGTAAGACATCATGTGATATTTGGACAGTTTCATAGGAATATGATAGTAATTTTCAACAGAATAGCCCGAAATCAAGAATTCTCTTTTGTGTGTAATGGTATTACTAATCATAGGGATATCACAGGAGAGCTCGTGTTTTCGACAACGTCACCAAATGCATGCTCACTCTCCAAACACATGTTGCTGCGATCAATAGGTGGAGATCGTTATACACGAATACACCTCACCATCATTCAGGCATAGCTGTTGCCATATGAATAGGGCCACACCCGCTGAACAAACACTTAGTCGGGTGGAACAGGTTGTGTCAATAGTGAACCCAGGGCACATTGGGCTGACACGAAGAAACCAGGGCAAGCTGTATACAAAAATGGCACTAGAAAGTACACAAAATTCATTATGTTTTCTGTGAATTATGAGTTGCAACAGTTGATCCTTAGAGTGCCATGTTTAGGAGTTCCATTTACACCAATTGCTATTGTTATGATGACATATAATGATGACATATCCCGGTGTCAGGAGTTTTCGACATTTATATCTGCAATATCATTTACCATGTTTAAAGTTTATGTTTTACTAACCTTGAGTGATAAAGGATATGTTCACCTATTTCACACAAAAATATCAAGTGTTTCCTACAAAAATAGCGCTTGATGACATCATATCGGGCTAAACTGTTGCTGCTTGCCACATCCAGGGATTTTGTATGGGTTTTCGATTTTTCATCTGAAGTGTTATTAATAATCTCGGGTAAATGATATTGATGTTTGTTTGCTTTTTATATAACTTTACTTCCCGATTTCCATTGTCAATAAAACTTCTCATGGCAGCGACTGGGTATCCGAAACTGCTTGTGCACTCCGATCGCACGCATGCTCCCCCGATATAGCGCATAAAATGCATCCTATTTGAGAATATACCAAATGTATAAAATTTGATTTTGAATAAAGAGTTTGCCTGTGAAGAATACATCGTTTGGAATCGTAGATATTTCCTTGATATAATATTTGCTGTATTATTGCCATGCATCAATACAAGCCTCAAATTCTGGGCAAACCAGCAAGTATGTATTTAATCTTTATAAGCACCATGCATTATTGAGAAATTAACATGGGGCATATTTTGTTGATTATTTTGGGTCATTGAGTTATGTACTTTCGCTTGTGTTCATCTCATTTGGGTATCCTAATTTTCATTTGAGTAACCAAATAAATTGTACCCACCTCACTCAAACTCAATTGGGTATTTTGCCAGATGACTACTATTCAAACTGTAATAGTTGCATGAACATTCAAACATGTTAGACTAGGTTACTAGACATGATCTCTGACAATATATTAGCTTAGCTGTCATTGTAATAAGCACCCTCATTTGTCAATTCCCTCTTACTTCTCAGGTCACTGTTATGGTGTATGTGGTACAATAAGAATTGCTATGTGTCTGTTCTATACATTCTGGACACTCTGGGGTGGTGGGGTAGACTTGTGGTTAACATGGTTAAAGCGCTTTGCTCGTCACGCTGAAGACTTGGGTTCGATTCCACGTGGGTACAATGTGTGAAGCCCATTTCTGGTGTCCCCCACCGTGATATTGCTGGAATATTGCTAAAAGAGACGTAAAACTAAACTCACTCACTATGGACAAGCTATGCTGACAGAGGTGACACAATGGACTGGATGGACAGATTCCTTGACTTGGTTGACAACATGTCATCATTCCTTGTTAGCATCATGTAGATTGAATTTTGTTAGATATGCTGTGAAGTAATATAAAATCAAACAGTATCATGTGTTTACCAAGACATCCAACCAGTGATCCGAGCCACAATGCATGGATATAACACATGTATACTTCCATTTCCAAGTACCATTAAGCAATCATCGCAATTTTTGATCATGGTAATCAGTACTTTGTTGAGAAAGTGTAATCCTAAATCTAACATTTGTTAAATTTGACCACTTTGTAAATGGCATTACAATGTGTTTTCATACCTATCGGCTGTGGGACCCGTGCCAATTTACACTTATCAGCAGGGAACACACAGCCCGTGGTCCAGACAACCAGTTGTCCGACTTCCATTTTTGTGGAAGCTGTGGTGGTCGATTGAAGTTAGTCCTGCTTAGTAGATCAGTCACTCCAGCATTATAACATACTCAAATGTATGCTTAGATGAATTCCATGTTAAATCGAGACATGCAGTAGATCAGTTCAATTTTTTAATAAAAAATGTACTGCCACATGGCAAAGTGACTTTAAGAAAGTACTAGTAACTTGTGTTGACTAATTTTCCACTTGTCCTGTTTTATGACATAATTATGATGATGTAATTATTAAATAATAAATCAACATGGTATTTGATGTTAATGTTTACTGGACTATTTATTGAAAAGTGATAAATAGCAAAGAAAGATAACTCTACTTTATTATCCTTGCAAAATTTAATAGCTACATTTTGAGCAGATATGAAATTAAATCCAAGTTTATTTGCAGTTTGAAACCATAAGTGGAAATTGTCTAGTAACCCTCAGACTAGTAAGGTACCATTATTTGATTGCCCAAAATGAAAGCTGACTTGTATTGGGCGATGGGATTTTTGAACCCCTGACATGTCTGGAATCATGGACATGGATATAAAGACAATGAGGATTTTAAACCGTCTCAATTTCATACGAACTACAGTACACTGGCAGTATTTTTCTATTTTTATGGGAAAGGACGTTTAGAGTAGAAACATGACATGGAATGGTTGTTTCTCTGCCCCAGATGACATCATTAAGCTGAACAAGAAGCAGAATCGTGGTGGTAGAGGTCGTGGCGGCCTGAATCGGGGGTCCAGCCGAGGACGGGGAGGAGGAGGGGCAGGAGTGAGCAAGGTAAAACAGTTCCGCACCAACCTACAGAGAGGAGGAATGAGAGGACGTGGTGGACGGGGGCGACTGCGGAGGCTGTCTGGAATTAGTCCCCTCAATAGAACACAGGTACTACTGATTGCATCACAAGCACTTTGTATGAGGTGGTAGATTGATGGGATGGCCCACCTCAGTTTTCTGGCTGTTTGTATGTAATTGTACCCCAGAAGTGTGGATAGCTGCCTGGTCCACTACTGATTGTTTGCCCTGTTGCCATTTATTGTGTGCTGGAATATTTCTGAGTGTGGTTTTGTGGTATTTAAATGTTAAGATGTTGATTGTAAGGGGGGTCACCAATTTGTTTCTGGGGTGTGGGGTGGGAGTGGGGTTGTATTCAATTTTGTACACATGGACAAGAGGGGGGTGTCATTGATTATGTAGATCATAGATGGCATGTGGTGGTGGAAGTATCACTTATTTTGTACATAGATATTAGGTGGGGTCATTCACATTGTACATGCTTCTCCATAAAATCATCATCATCATCATCATCATCTCCCTAGCCATGGATTATGAGCGGGTCCCTAAGTCCATGTTATACTATAGCAGACAAGATGTTCACCTTAACCCTCTATTACATAGTCTTGATGTTGGCCTTGATCATATCTAAGATGTCATTGGCTTTCAGGAGCAAAGTTTGAAGAATTCTACAAATCCTAAGTCAACTAGAGGTGGCAAGTTCAACCAAGGTCAAGGTCGGCAGCAGCAACAACAGTCTTACAAGCAGCAGAGGCTGAAGGCCGTCTTAGCCCTGAAGAAAGCAAAGAACCAGCTTGCTCGAATAGACGCGCACAGGCAGCTGGCAGACAGAATCACGTCAACCAGCGCCGAGGGCTTCAGGTAATACCACAGTCGACAAATAGCTTCTCGTCTTGTCAGATGTTCATGAAGATCCTTGTGTGCACTTTACACTTTTATCACTTCTGGGATGCTGGACTGGACTGTCTGCTGAGCAGCCATTAGCAGTATTCCAGCAAGTGACTTTGAAATGGGCTTGTGCCCAGGTAAGAATCAGACTAGGTGACTGCAGGCCTACCAAAGAAAACTTTGACCACTGTGCAGAAAAATGCAGAAAAGCCCACATTAATCATGGAAATAGCAACATAAACATAATACCTCGCTACTGAAACAGTAAAAGCGGCAACTATAAATCGCTAAAACTGCATAAAAAAGACGAAGAGCCTGCAACTTGGATTTTGCGCATGCGCACATGGAAGAGGAAGTCTTGACCGCATTGTGACATTTTCCAGCTTGGACAAAAGTTACATTCCCTTTTAAAGTATTTCTATTGTTGTTTATTTGGCATTTATCATCCATGATACTTGTGTGCACACTTGTTTAATTTACTATCCATTCAAGTATGAAATGATTCACAGCAATTATTTGACATATTTAATACTTTCTACACATGGGCACAACAATGTGTTAATTCCACGGTTGCTTGGAGAATTGGAAAGAAGCTTGATCGTAGTGTGCATGCACAGTAGAGGTCAAAGCTCGCTGATAAAGAATGTTGCAGTTTCATAGTCTTTCGTTGCCGTTTTTACTGTTTCAGTAGCGAGGTATTATGTCTATGTTGCTATTTCCACGATTAATGTGGGCTTTTCTGCGTTTTTCTGCACAGTGGCAAAGTTTTCTTTGGCAGGCCTGGACTGTGGGGATAGTGTGCCTTGAATAAATAGACCATCATATAGCTAGAATGTTACTGAGTGCAGCATTAAACAACAAACATTAGGCTCACTCTCTCTCTTGTCTTGTTCAGCAATATCTCTATCTATTTTTGGGGAGAAGTAGTGAAAGCCTTCGATTGGAACGATCTCAGTTAGAATATATGAGTCTAGGACATGTTTAAAAACTTAAACATAGTACCCCAGGGATCATTGTACAAACCAAGCTAAGGGCCATGACTACTCAGGGCTCCAGATAAAGAGGCGATATATATATATAAAATAAGTATGGGTAGGAAATAATAAACGTGAGAAGCGTGAATCAGATACGCACCACAGCAATGGTGTACGGTCTTAGAATGTATTTATCTGATAAAGTATTGTTTATTGATCTGTTTACACAAGAGAGCAATCTTGTGGTGCATATATGAAACGAAACACAAGATTACTGATGCTCCATTAAATTCCATTCGGTACTCTAAATGTACTCTTATTGTTTTCAAGTACTCCTATACTGAAAAAACAAGGAGTACGTACTCCTGATCATGAACAATTATCTGGAGCCCTGAATACTGTATGCCCCAGTTAACATATGGAAGTTCAGGGATGAGAATTCTCTGAGGAATTTCTCAGATTTGATCATGCTGGGGTCATTGGATCTGGCGTGGGGATCTGCAGCCACCTAGACTGACCCCGGCTCATTTTTCTCTTTTCTCACTCCTACCCATTCTCATCCCTGGAAGTTACAATCACCTTAAGCATAAAGATTTGTTCAACAAGGGGCCGGAGTCTTTAATCGCTTAAGATCAGAGGCCTTTAGTTGAATGTATACTAGTCCACTTTTCATAAGGATACTTTTACCTTGCTATGATACACAAATGTCATCTATACCATGTCTATGCATATTTCAATAGAATCATGTCTATTTATCCCTAACAGAAGATATGGCCTTGCGATCCAAGTGGAGGCACTATGTTTTTGATTGTATGTTTGCAGTTTCTGATTTATATCCAATAAATCAATTGTTATGTCTCTGCAAAGGCAGTCCATTATTAATGGCAGATTACTGGATGTCAAATATATATATTTGAGATGTGATGACAATGTTTGTCAGTATTCTCAACTTTCGCTTGCTGTTTTCTCTTTCAGACATCATCACAGCAGCAGCAGCAATATCAAAACACTAACGAGGCCGCGGGCCGTGGGAGGGGCGGGTGGATCGGGTCAGGTCTCAATCGACAAAACTACAATGCAAGGGGAGGTAACCAGAAGTACAGAATCAGGTCGATGTCGCATCATATGGGTTTGCTTATCAGAACGTGAGTCGAGGGGGAGGTCGAGGACGTGGCAAACTACGTCGTCTTGGCAGCAACTACAGCAGCACCTTATCTCTCAACTCCTCTGTGTCAAGTGGCACTGTCAAGCAGAAGAAGAGGCAGTAAGTAGTGGCCAGGGCTCCAGATAATTTTCAACATCAGAGTAACGCATACTCCTTATTTTTCAATATAGGAGTACTCGAGAACCTTAAGAGTACATTTAGAGTACTGAATATCAGTAATCTTGTGTTTCATGTCATATATGCACCACAGCATTTCTACTCTTGTGTAAACAGGTCAATAAACAATAAAACAATACTTTATCAGATAAATACGCCTGTAAATGATTCTAAGACCGTGGTGTGTATGTGCTCGCTTTTCTAAATTATTTCCTACCGTATGCGCGTGCATATTTGTTATCCGTATTACGCCCGTATCACTGAGACAGGTGTTGCTACTTTGGATCAATAAGCAAAGGTATTTAAAGAATTACAGGTGCACAATTTAGAGGCTATATTGGGTAATTTGCTTGATCGTTGTACCCATCATACTATTGTCTTTTGTAAAATTCATAATGCACTCCAAGGGCCTCTAAGTTGTGTGTGTTTTGTTATTTGCATTTCAACTAAACTTTCCGCAAGTCTCCAGGAGCTCCTTTCACGAAACAACCTTTACTGAGGTTAACCTTAACTCTCATTCTTTAACTTACTGCACTAAGGTTACCTCAGTGACTTGTAAACACCTTAGTGACTTGTGAACACCTTAGTGACTTGTGAACACCTCAGTGACTTGTGAACACCTCAGTGACTTGTGAACACCTTAGTGACTTGTGAACACCTGTGACTTGTGAACACCTCAGTGACTTGTGAACACCTCAGTGACTTGTGAACACCTTAGTGACTTGTGAACACCTCATTGACTTGTGAACACCTCAGTGACTTGTGAACACCTTAGTGACTTGTGAACACCTTAAGTGCTTTGTGAAAGGGGATCCGGGATGAAAACAGTTTGTTCACGTTCATCAGTTTATTATCAGTGTGGCATTATAAAGATAGTGCCCTGTATTGGTATGTTAGCAACTTCGAATTGTTTTGCATAATCGTGATGTATTGTGCGTATTTTATGCAAGTACACAGCTCACCTGGAACGCTGGTGGACATGACTTGTATCTCGATGACATAAGGAAATGGTTTGATACAGCTACAACTCCACCCATATGGGCTACTAGTATTTGAAAAGCATAACTTAGTATTGACATGTACCATACATATTAGTACATGAATGAGAATTAAAGCATTTCATTTTTTCCCTAAGCATTCATGTTTGATCTATTTCAGATGGCGCAGTCGGCCTGTTCAAGCTCCTTCATCACAGAACGATGGAATATTGACGATCTCCGTACAAAACCCAAGGTAAGCTTGACCGTGGGTCAGTAAGCGATCATTACTGGACAACAATAAGTCTGATGGAAGCGGTCACATGTGTCAGCCTACACGAAATGAATATTTATGAAACAAATGAACAATTGTCACTGCAAACTGCAGAAACATTTATTTGATTATTTCCATCATTTTACAATGGTGACATGAGCTTTATGATAGTGTCATCAACCAGGCTCTGAACCCATGGTCTTTCATATAGCCTGGTGGTTAAAGTGTACTTCCATCAGGATACTTGTCTGACTCAGTTCAGAGTTATCCCCAATAGCATGCAGCTGCTTAAAGCATGCCATTGTGTTTCATGTGTGTTAGTTGATGTTATGGTCCAAGGTTCGCACAGATTTGAAAAGTGCTTGAATTTAACTATGTTCAAAGAAATTTACCACGATAGTACTTAAAAAGTGCTGGATTTTTTATCATGTCCTTGAAAAGTACTTGAAATTTCATTAACATATTTGTTGTGGTTGCACTGATGATCAATCAATTGTTTTGATAAAATTGCGTCTATTTCCTGGTTCCTTGAATCATAAAATAAGAAAAAGGGCTCTTTCTGTGAATAGGGCATTCGCACTGCGTTCTGATAGATTGTTGTTAATGCTGGAAGCGACAATGTCGAAACTAAAAGTGAAACTTGTCTCAAGATACTTTGGGAAGAAAGTGCAGCGCGAAAAACACATCATATGTCCATGAAAATTCTTTGAAAAGCCCTTGAATCTAATTGGCTGTATGAACCCTGTAGTCACTGGCTTGCCTGGTCCAGACTTGAGACCATGTGTACCTGGAATACTGCTGAGAACTGTGATAACTTACCAGAAAACCCACAACTTATTACTCTTGTGAGAAAGACTCAGGGCATGTTTGTTCGTTTGTGTGGCCAGTTCTGAGATATTTCTGCAGAATCGTTGACTATTTTGCCTCTCACTAACCAGTCTCACATTGCCTTTCAGCTATGAGTCTCCTCCACAACAAGAATCGGTAAGCCAGGTGTGTCACAATGTATGTGCCTGAAAGGCATTTTCTAAAGATGTGAGATATTTAATGGTCTCCTGTCCACTCTCCCTCCAGCTTCTGACTAATTAATACCTAAAAATTCTGGACATACAGATATGAGTCCTTTGATTTTATTAGTTAACCTAAATAATATTCCATATTGTACATCAGTCACTTAACTACAATATTGTATTCGTGAATAATTATTCATATTCGTTACCCAATATTCATGATACATATCATATTCGCCACATAGTGTATTTGTTGCAGTCCTACAGCTTGTTCAGCTAGAGTAGCTCAGGTCAAGCTGAACAAGCTGTACTAAATAATAATAGAAATGGTGTCAACAGTAACCATGGTCTGTTCGAGAGGCATTCTAGAAGTTGTCAGCAATGGGAATGACAAGTCTTTATTGATAATCAAGTATTGTACAATAAAGAAGTTGATCATCCATAAAGATTTGTCATTCCTAGTTACCATGGTAACTGACTATTGCTTTTGTCTTTACAGTCCAAGAAGTATAACTACAACAAAAGGCTCTTCGCACAGTCAGGGGTAAGTTGTTTGTTGATGCAGTGTTTTATTAGCTATTCTTAGAGTGTCTAGGGCGGTGGTGGAGCCTAGTGGTTAAAGCGTTCGCTCGTCACGCCGAAGACCCGGGTTTGATTCCCCACATTGGTACAATGTGTGAAGCCCATTTCTGGTGTCCCCACCGTGATATTACCAGAATATTGCTGAAAGTGGGCGTAAAACTAAACTCACACACACTCACTGTTAGAGTTTCTGCCTGGAGAGTGGATGGTCAGTGCTAGATCTCCTGCGGCACCCGACAACGGACATTGATAGTGCTTGTTGAAATTCCAATTTTAAGCCATTTGATGCTTCATCCAAGTTTGCCTCCATCTCATGTGCATGTGGAGTTACATCCCTTAGTTTATTTACTGTTATGTTGATATGTTCTTTGATTCTGTCCATGAAGTGTTTTGGTTTGTTGTTTAACGCCACACTCAGCAATATTCCAGCTATATGGTGGCGGTCTGTAAATAATCGAGTCTGGACCAGACAATTCTGTGATCAACAGCATGAGCATCGATCTACGCAATTGGAATGCAATGACATGTGTCAACCAAGTCAGCGAGTCTGACCACCCGATCATGTTAGTCGCCCCTTAGGACAAGAAAGGGTTACTGAAGGTTGATTCTAACCCTGATCTTCACAGGTGTTATACAAAGGAACTAGCTCAGAATTAAGGCGAAGAGTACGTAAGTCCAAACTTCTTGAACAGGCTATCGTGCTTGTCCTTACCCAAGCAGTACAACAAGCATGGGTTGATGAAGACCAATTCCAACCCGGATCTTCGCAGGCTGTTCATGAAGTAAATGTTCATGAAGCAGAATCTCATGGTGCAACTGTGTAATTACTCTTTTGTCATTCTCAACCCCCTGGGGAGTATACAAACCAAGCTGCCATGTATGGTTAAAGTTATTCATGTGATCTGACCATGATCCTTTATCCATGTTTAACACAATATCTAAGTTGGTGAGTTTTTGAGAAAGTGGTAAATGTCAGTGACCTGTTGAACTTGAACATTGGATTTCTGCAACATCAAGTTGACTCACTGTGTGCAATTTGAAATAACCAACGTCAGCTCACTCCTGTATTCTTTGATTCAGACCAATGCTCCTTTAAATGAGAGGTTCCGGACAGCTCCGGTCTTCCAGCAATGGCTCCAGACAGGTGTTTTTGTGATCACTCACTCAGCATTCCTCTTAGGGAGCTTCAGGCCAAAGATGTCTACCAACAAAGCTGATGTTTCAAGGTCAAGGCTGTGCTACAAGATCACATCTGTTATTAAATGATCTGTGAAGCGTGGAAGCATCCGTTGCTATGGTTACAGGATTCCTGGCGTTCCCATGTTTTCGGAGATTGTGATACTGTCATTAGTACTGACAATTCTTGGAAAGAAAATGGTTTTATGCGTTATGAAACAAATGGTGCTAAAACATGAACAATATTTGCAACTTTGGCTGTTTCGTCCAGTTAGACCAGAAGTTTAAAGGGAGGGATAAAAATGTTACATGACAGTAATGCTGCATAGGCGTTTGTGCTGGAGTGTTTGTTGAGAAAAGTGATGATTCAGCATTTATGAAACTGGTTAATGTTTCCGTCATATCAGTGACTCAATCTCATTAAAATCAAATCTTGACTCTGATATCTGCATGAAGATCTGACAAACCCAATCTCCATCGTGGGTCAAGTCTATGAACCAAGAAATAACTTTGAAAGGCCAGTCTGAATGATGGATCTGTCAGTTCTAGGGCCCATCCGATTTCAGCCCTTTTGTCTTTCTTTACCACAGGGTGTAGCCTAGTGGTTAAAGCGGCTCGTATCAAGACCCGGGTTCGATTCCCCACATGGGCACAATGTGTTAAGCCCATTTCTGGTGTCCCCATGCTGATATTGCTGGAATATTGCTAAAAGCAGCGTAAAAACTAAACTCAGTCAGTCAGTTCTTTACCACATTGTAATATATCAAGGGGACAACAATGAACGCCCCATCGCTGGTTCTCCTGTTGTGTGACGTTTTCACTGTTCTCACAGACAATGCATTTGATATCTGCAACAATAGTAGTGCCACTTTTATTATTTCATTCAGAACTTACTGTTTATGTTCATTTTTGAAAGCTTCTCTGAAATACTTGGTGTGGTAGTACAAAACTTTAAATGCTAGACTGATTAGAGCCTTGCCTGACACATCCTTCCATGAGCTGGTGGTCAGGGCCCGTTTCTCAAAGCAATCGTAACTCAAATACTTTAACATAGACTTACAACAGTTGTAGCACTACGATCTCTTTGTTAAACGGACCCAGATCTTCACGCAGGATTATGAAAGATATGATTGTCTTGAGATTGATCTGTGACATTGTTGCCACTTTTAGAAGAAGAATACTTTTAGAAGATATTTATTTTGCCTTTTTTTGTGAAATGTCACGTGTGTACAAGGCTGCTCTTGCTTGATACAATCTATTCATATATGAATAGTGTAGTAGATTCAAGCTTAATCTCACAGTGTTTATTTTTGAAGGATTTTATCTTAATCATGTTAATAGTGAGGAAACTTGTGACCTTTTACTGTCTTTCGTCGAGTTTGTATGTAGTTTCTTAAACATGTTTAGAGATTGATTTTATTAAAGTTGATGAATCTGTATTCAACATTTGTACTTCACTGTTGTTGCAATCAGATTTTGAACATGGCAGCATTCTTATTGGTCAGTCAGAAGAATCAAATGACGACAGTATAGCTTGACTTCACAGGTGAATCACTGTTGTCATATACTACTAAAATGTTATGGAATATCCAGTACTTTCATATAACTATAGCTAATCAGCATGTCAGATTATCTTCAGTAATATGAAAGAATCGTCCGTAACCAGTTTTAAAGCTGTTCAAAGTTATTTTGTTGACATTTGATTATTCACATAAATCTGCATTTTATTCTGCATTTTTGATGCATGATTGATGAAAAGTTGGCTGACTGAAGCCTTGTCAGCATTAGTGCTTCTGTGTTTGGAAAGATTCCACTTTTATATAAAGAACAATTAATCAGGAATAAGATCTTAGATGATGTCGCTTTTCATGAGTTTCAATGTGTTTTTTTCCTAAATGTTTGAAGTTTTCCAATCCAGAAGATTCAACTGGAACAGTTATGTTTGGATCATGATTGTTTTACTCTGCTGAATTGTACTTAACATTATTTCAGGGAGGTGGGGTAGCATGGTTAAATGAACATAAGGTTTTAATCACATGGGCACAATGTGAAGCCCATATCTTCATCCCCAATGATTATTGTGGAATCTCTTGGTCAGTGTTTAACATTATTTCAAGCTCCATACATGAACATATGTTTTAACAATGGAGATATCTTCATTGATTTGTGATCTCTTGGCTTTTCATTTTCAACTAAAAAAAGGCCAGACATAGCTACCATAGCTACCTTGGATTAAACGTGTTAAATATTATTAATCATGAATACAATCAGAGATAATGTTTTCATAATCTTTGTATGGTTGTGTGACATGTTTGGGATAACCTTCCAGCCAGATTGGCCTCCCTTTACCTGCCATGACGTTGGCAGAGCAGGTCTGATAAGATGTTGATGAACTGTCCTAGTAGTTTAAAACTGTCATACACTTAAACGATGACACTGGGGAACAGACATATATTTTTTTAAATACTGAATATGTAGGAGAAATAGTATGTGTTTTCCTTATAAGCATAATCAACCATGATAGCCATAAGCTCAGTTTGACATGTTAAGTGTTTTTGAGTCATAATTGGTTTCCTGTCACAACCTAACATTGGTCAGTGTTAGAGTTGGCAGGAAGTGGAGATGCTTGACTTGTAAGGCCTCATCAACATTGCCTTTCCTCTTGTTCCTTGTGGAAGGGAGATGCTAATACCGTACACATCCTTGTATGCTAATTCTATGATCTGACATTGACATAAACAGATCATGAAGCTCAGCCCATGAGGGTCATGGGCATGGTGAAAAGCCAGTCACAGAGGGGCAGTTGTGTAACCTAGCTGTTAAAGCATTTGCTTGTCATGTCTGGGTTCGATGGGGCGGTGTGGGTAGCCTAGTGGTTAAAGCGTTGGCTCGTCAGGCCGAAGACCCGGGTTCGAATCCCCACATGGGTACAATGTGAAGCCCATTCCAGGTGTTTCCCCCCCATGATGTTGCTGAATTATTGCTAAAGGCGGCGTAAAACCAAACTAAACTGACAGTCAGCCTGGGTTCGATGACTCTCGTAAGGCACATTTGTTGTGTCCTCTGCCATGATAGAGTTGGAATGTTGCTAGAAATGTCATTAAACTCACCCACTAGAGTTGTGTCCCTTCTGTGGGAGAGGATGCTGTGATAGTGGGTTTGAGTTTGTGATACCGGTACTTGGTTTGTTAGCATCACAGTTTTATCACTTCATGCTTTCCTCCCTCTTTAAGCTGAAACCTGTTGAGACTGGTTGAGTGGATGTAAGAGGCTTCTTCAGTTATTGACCAATGAAGATCCGGGGTTGAATTGATCTTCAGTAACCCATGCTTGTCATAAGAGGCGACTAATGGGATCGGAGGGTCAGGCTCGCTGACTTGGTTGACACATGTCATCATATCCCAATTGCAGACAGACAGACAGACAGACAGACAGACAGTTTTATTCAGTAAAAGGCCACTGGCCCAGAATACAGATAGATACATGGTTTCACATCACATATATTGCATAGATTGATGTTCTAGCTGTTGATCACTGGATTGTCTGGTCTGATTATTTACAGACTGCCGCCATATTGCTGGAATATTGCTGAGTGCGGCGTAAAATTAAACTCACATCAATTAATCATACAATCCGGCTCATCGACTTGCATGTCACTGCATCCTGATTGTTCAACATGTCAGATCAAGGGATTGTCTGGTCTGAAAAATATAGCTGAGTATGGGATTAAACAAACTGCAGGAAATACATTAAACTGACAGTTTGTGAATGAACTGGAATTCTGTCCGAACATGGGTTTTAGTGTGTAGTGCTGGATATCATCTGTCTAGTGTCTGGTTGTAGAAATCCCTTTAAGACTTTTTTATTAATTACTTGGTTTACGGATTTTTTCAAAAAAAATTTTTTTTCACTTTCTTCACATTTTAGGCAGGTAATAAAAAAAGCCAGGATTACTGCACTTTACCGGGCGCACTTTTCCAGATTAGTTAACGCTGCTGGGGTTCCCTAACCCTAAACCCTAACCCCTAACCCTAAGGATCGTAAAGGGTGCCTGACCCTAAGCATTGTAAAGGGTGCCTAACCCTAAGGATAGTAAAGGGTGCCTAACCCCAAACCCTAAGGGTCATAAAGGGCGTCATACCCTAACCCTAAGGATCGTAAAGGGAGCAGCGAGTGCTGCGCCCGGTAAAGTGCATTCTAGCCAAAAAGCCTTAGTAGTATGTTGATAAAGAGTGCATACACCAACATTTACAAGTTGTGTGTATTCATCTCAATACTGGCAACTCAAAATATATCCAATTCATATTGTGATGTCATAGAGAGTTATATTCTTGACAGGGTACAGAATCCTTCATGTCCGTCATGTCGCCTGTGTGTTATATGCTTTTTAAATAAAGGTAAAGAATACCAAATTCTTTCATAATACCATACTACCATTATATCTGTCATGAAAAATCTGTCTTCGTCTTTAGCTCATTTTGAGTAGTGTATATTGACAGATTATTTTATTGTCATCAGACCTTTGTCATTCACACAGTGGTGTGGTACTTACTTCATGTTGTCATCCACCACTACATGGATTTAATGAGGTATTGGGAGAGTCGGCAGGTGGAAATAACCCATTGCCCGGCCCCGAGTCCAGTGTTTTTTCTGTCAGGCAAAGCAAATTTGTATATCACACTGTACCGGTGTCCAGGTGATATTCCAATGTTAATTATGTTGTTTATTTAGAAAATCAACAAGAAAGCGGTCAGTATAGTGGAAAAATTATCAGGACAAGTGATTTTACATGTGCCACTGTGCGGAGTACACTAACAACTTTAAAGTTATTTCCACCCTGGTCAGGGATACACTTCGCAAATTCAGAAACAATGCAGACCAATTTTCTCAGACATAAAGCTTTGTCTTTTGAAGATGTATGTATGATAAGTGC